CGTTATCAATTATTGGCTCGGTTTGGAACACGCAAATTTCGTAATGGATTAGACGGTCGTTTTTGGCGTAAAAATACTTTTCTTTCTCGTACTTATCGAAAAATCGTACCCGATAATTCGCCTCACGGATGGGAAGTAATTATAATCTCACGGCAGCGATCTTCCGCGGTAACGAGAGAAGATTACGAAAGTGGAATCGAGAGGCGAGCAAGGAATACGCAGAAACCGATAAACCGATACGAAACAGGTCGCGTAAAACCGTATCGTGCCAATTAAAAACGGAAGTAAGCGACGAGGTTAATGCAATTTCGCAACCCTTGTGTATAACAGATTCATTGAATACGAGGAGGCCCCTTTGTAAACAGATAACCAGTCTCTGAAGTTATGTGGAACAAACGGCGCTTCATGACTTTATTGGATCCTCGAACAGGAAATCCACAAAAATGAATGGAACGACAGAAACGGCGGACTCTTCGATGGATTCGTTTTCTATGAATTCTACCGTTCCGCGAATCCGCGATATCAATGAAGAATTGTCACAGGATACTTAATTTTCTACCCACGCACACCGCGTTAAAAATGTCACTAATGGACGAATGGTTGACTGCCAGAGGGAGATACACTGCGAAGCATAACTACAGCGTCATCCATATTCTTAAACATTTCGGATGTTTAAAGGAGCGTCAATTTTTAGTTCTTTTTTTTTTTTTTGGTAAACTTTGAAAAGCACCGATCTAGAATGCTCAAGTACTCGCTGGTAGTATTACAACCATTCGATATAATGAAAGGGTCATCTAAATGCAAAGCTACGATTGTCAGAATAGTCCAAAAATCACTTGTGCATTCAAGTCAGATAATCCAGCCTGTTGCCGTTAACATTATTTTACCTAATCGCTTTACCTATAGTTGTATAGTTCGAACTGGTAATCCTTTACGTTAAGAAATGCCAAGCTCGTCGATCGATTTATCTCTTCGTTGTTCTTCGGCACTCGTTTTCTCCCGGTATTCACATTATTTTCGACACGATGATTTCACTTCCAGGTGAATAATCTTCCCTTTACAATATCCAATTAAAGAAGGTAAATCCTGCAGTAATGGAAATCCTCTTTTCCTGTTGCGTGTCGGATTACCCCGCGGCATATTAATGCTTGCCCTGCGCGCTTAGGATCAAACAGGAATATTATCTGTTTAAACGCAGATGTCGACGTTGGATTAACTGTTCGTTATTTTTAAGACTTCGATCTACGGACTTGACGAAAGTAACTTGATTTCGTCGATTGTTCGCGACTGCAATTCAGATTCGATCAATTATAATTGTCAAAATAAACAACGTGTATCGATTGCAGTATTAAATTCTCGATGATAACTGCTATTGACAACTGTTCAATCGTAATTGCAATTAGAATTGATGATCAATCGTCGATCGAATACACATTTAGTCCAACGCTGTCTCCGAAGGAATGCTTCCGTCGACAAAGCAGGTTGGTTCTCGTTCTGCCAGTCTCCCGTCCTCTTTCTCTTTCCTTTCCCCTTAGCGTCTTTCCGGCATCTCTGTCGCCACGTATAAATAGCGTGGTCCAAAATTACCAACAGTTCTGAGAGCAGCGCAGCAGAAGACGACGTCACCGAAGGAAATTCCCGCCACAGAAAGCAACGACTTGCAAAAGGGAAACGCGCAGGGGTCACTGAAATTTTGCACGCTTTCGCAGCGAGACCAACGTCGAGCACCAACGATAGCTGCGTTCTTCGTGAACCGTTATCACGTTCCGCGCGATACCTTGTGTCTCTTCTATTCCCGGTTAGGAATTTATAGCGGACGAAAGTAACACGAAAACTAAATAAACTAATAATTTATAGAATAGAAGAGACAGTACTCTCGCTATCGGTACCATCTTGTATGTGCATCCTAGAGATTTTGAAACGAACATAACGTCAACAGTAGTACGCGACGCAAAAATATTAACGATGGTAAACAAGTGTGTTTCTCGGAATAATGCATCATCTTATCAACGCGAAGCGTACACGTTGAAGAAATATCGCGAAGCAATGCTTTCGTGTATCGCAGAATCGATCACAGACAATTATATAAATTTAAAATTTAAGTAACCTGAAACTGCTGGTTTGTATCGAGAACCGTGCCGCGTGCACGAAGGGGTTAAATTAATTTCGAATCGATAAACGATTACGCCAAGAACCACAGAATTCATACCACTTCATGCGTCACGTATTGATACCAGTTGGCCATATTACTAACTCGACATGGAAGTCGTTGAATATTTAAAACAGCCCTCGTTAAATTGCGAATAATTCCAAATCGAGTGGACGGTTCGTTTAAAAAGTGGCGATTCGCTAGCTTCGTTGGCTGCCAATGTTAAAAATCCAATTGAAGGAAAGTTCTGATCTACGCACAAATCGGCGACCGAGTGATCTGAACTGTTGAACTTGCCTCCTTCCGCTTTCGTAATATAATTCTCGCATAAAACCGTAGGAATGACCTTCTAGGCCTTGAATATTAAGCGATCTGATAAATGCGCGTCGAACGTGCTCGTCTAGCATGTCGTTCGATCACATTTTATCCATAAATGGTGCTACTTCGATCGAGTATCGCATTTTACAGTTTTTTCTTTCCTTTATTGCATAAACTGTACGGAGTCTAGCCGTCAAGTTTTGTAACCATTTTTTACGTATTTACGGTAGTGCAATTTAAAAATGTTTTAGACAAAAGTTTATCGGTACATGGTAAGCAACATTTTCGCATATTCATAAATCTAACGAAATGCTTTTTACGTAAAAAAGTAAAGGTCATCTTGACTTTGTAAAACGTCAGAAATTGCACAAAGAAAAAGTAAGGTTGGGAACGTACTATCGAGCTAGACAAGCAACAAGTAAGGCTGGAACTGATGGCAGAGATGTGCTATATTATTGGAGGAATCATCAACGATAATCAAGGTTCTATTAAAAATTGCCTAATAAAATAGTATCTAATCCACCGTCACTCGAGAAATTAAAATTTATTCAAAGTCTTATCGTACAAGTGACGGAGCATTTTCATATCTGTCTATAAATTAATGTAGTAACTGATAAGGAGCTTTATGTGTAATATATTTCTGATATTCACTTTCTGTAGTAAAGATCTTTGAGTGATCCATTGTGTGTGGTATTATTTAACACGTTGGTCGCCAAGCAAAATTTTAACGTGGTAGAAAATTTCATAAGCTTGCCAGTCAACGTTCTTTGATCACTGATACAACGTTGCTTTGCATACCTTTCGTATGGTCGTGTATCCTTGCTTTTGTTTTTCTTTTTAAATAAATCCTCTCAGGATCCTTGAAGACAATTTTATAGTCAATGTTTTCCTTTCCCCGCGTAGTTCTTCTTATCTTTACCTAGTATAACGATGTTATCTAGCTCGTTAGTAGAACTGTGCGCTACTAAATTCTAAGGAATCCAAGTGATTAGTCATCTAGCATTAGTTCTGCATAAGTCACAGTGGAGGAAATAGGTTAACCACGTTTTCCTTTTCATCGCATAGGTATTTTGTCGCTTGTTTTATGAAAATTCAGTCGTTCCTTAATGCATCTCTCCGCGAAGACACTCGGATTGTTATTCCTCGCCAAAATTAATTTCATCTATTTCATAAACTATTCGATGCTAACAGATAAATCGTCAGTTGTATTCCAATATCGTTGCTGTATTCGAATACGATAGTCGACAAAAGGATGTATCAGATTAAAATTAAATGAACGACTCTCGCGTTTCATACATGCAACGGTGCAGTTGAATAATCGAATGAATATTCTTATCGTGCGTCGAGACTGCCTATGACGTTATGCACTTGTTTACTCGATCATATTTGCGACATGCAATGAGAACGTTATGAAGATGTAATGAGTTGTGATCGTCTTTTTGCGTATACTTTTTTCTGACCATTCCCTCCGTGGACATCGATTTCCCTATTAATTTGATACATTTATTTATTTCGTTACGAAACCTCCTTGCTAGGTGTGGTTGGTTTATTCTCCAATGGAACGTTATATCTTCGCTGGTTAAAAGTTTATTTGCAACGTTTCTTTGGTAGACAAGACTATTTAAATGTCGAGTTAAAGATTGTTAGATAGTAAAGGGAAAATAACAAAATGAAAATTGTAGGGGACCAATTATAAAAACGTAGAATAAAACATGAACAATATTTCGAAAATATTCTATGTAAAGCGAGCTGTAAAAATCATTTGAATATCTACATACATTAAGTTACAAAAAAGATCCGCGGCGCCAATATAATCGTTAGTTAGTACGCTATATCTTTGCTGACGAATGAGAAATTGTAAAATCCCATTTATAAAAAGCGTGTCTCGTCCAGCATTGTACAAGAGAGTAGTCAGACTTCTAAACATACACATGGAAAGAAGCTTGACGATAAAATGATTGCTCAACTCCGTCTGTGTAAAGCTGCCAATTCTCTTTTCATTTTCTTAAAATATCGAAGAATACAATTTTTTCTAGCGGGCAGTTCCCACAAAAAGTGAAATGTTCAGCGTGCATTGTTGAGATCGTCGAACAGCATGATTCATGAACAGATTGAAACTGTTTTCCGATACTACACGCGAGTCAAGAGATTTCCAGGAATCTTCTTTCCTGCCACGAGGATTGTATTGTCATGATTCACGTGTCATTAACAGGATGCAGGCTGCGCGGTAAGCTAACGACCATGAACTTCGGAAACTCCTCGATGGTAATGAGAGAATCAACTGTCGAAAAGATTTCTTGAAAAATAATTACGTGTCTCGTGCTTTGCACGTAATTCCTCGAGCAGTTCTTTATAGTTTCGATAGTTCAAATCACCTCTGTATGCGCACGTACCACAGATTCGCGCACTTGAAATTGTTCACCAAAAATCTTGTCCCTCCGAACAACATTATTCCTAACATTAAATTAATGAAACTATTTCAAAGTTCGTTACTGTCGACACCAACTAAACTCCAATATGTTTCGTTTTGCAGAGACTCACACTGTGGCGATGACAGATCCACAGTTATCGAACAATAACAATAACAACAACAACAACAACAACAATAACGATGGCGAGCCAAAGTACCTGCACAAAAAGTTCAAGAAGATGGCGACGACGGAGGTCGCGCCTAAGCTGGAGCCAAAGAAGGAATCCCCTGGCAACAACAGTTCTCCAGAGACACCGAAGAAAAAGGATACGGCCAAGGACTCCAGAGAGTCGATCAAGGATCCGATCAAGGTCGAGGCCTCTCCGGAACCGGGGGACGGGGAACCGACAGAGTCTAGGAAAAGCGGCTACGTGTGTCCTTATTGCAGGCTCTCCTGCGCAAAGCCAAGTGTCCTGCAGAAACACATCCGTGCCCACACGAACGAAAGGCCGTATCCTTGCGTGCCCTGCGGTTTCGCGTTTAAGACCAAGTCGAATCTCTACAAGCACTGCAGGTCTCGTGCTCACGCGCTGAAGATGGAAGGAGGTGATGCCAGCAAGGTACATCGATACATCTCAATTATTAAGTGTTTTCCAAATGGTACTTGAGGATTTCGTTCTTTACAAAATTAATTGATTAAAACAAAATTTATCTCGTAGAAAGTTAATAGAATAACGCAGTCCTATTATCAATAAAATACTATATCTGTAACATGGATTTCTTAATAACAATTGCCTCACAGAACCCAGTGATTCAAGAAGTAAGTAACCGTAACTCGAATGCACAACATGTTCACAGGTATCAGAAGACTCGGACATAAGCTTATCGGACAGCGCGAGCAACGGTACCGGGACACCGCCGCCTCCGCCGTCGTCGACGCCTACGTCCACCATGTCTAGCATGAAAACGATCAGGACGGGGAAAATTTACAAGCCAAAATTCCACACGGCGCTCCAGTGCGTCAGCCACGACACCGAAACGTCTTCCCTTTCATCCGTTTCTTCCAATAACAGTTCTTCCCCGACGACAACCGCCGCCGGCGCCGGTTCGAAGCCGAATCCAGAGCAAGTACAAGAGCACATCGACAAGATCATCACCGACAATCAAGCGATCGTGGACGCGGTGGATCCGCGGCTACACAAGCTGATGCAAAGGCAGCAAAGTCTCGTCGAAACGAAGCAGTGCGATCAGCCGTTGAATCTCTCTTCCGTCGAGGAATCCGCCTCGAGGAAACGCTGCTACAGCGAGAGCTTCGTTCGAGAAAGCAAAGATTGCCAGAACAGTTCCGAGAGCTCGTTGATCAAGGACCTCCTCCTGAGCAATCCAAATCCGTGTCAAGATGGACCAGCGGATAACGAAAATTACCTTTGTCCGTCTTGCAATATCCCTTACTCGAGCATCGACAATCTCGACGCTCATCGAAGGTACTACTGCAAGGGCAGCGTGAGCCCCCGCATGGAGTGTAAGCTGGAAATAGAGAAAAGAGAGCCCGACTTGGAATCAAAGTCTTCCGATTATTACAATACGCTGCAACCTCTGCCTTCCCCAGGGCCGCTCTTAGGCAACACGAGACTCGTCGACGCGTACGCACCACCAGCGAAGAAGCAACGCTCGGAATCCGTGCCTACCACGCTGCGATCCCTCGAGGAGCTCAGCAAGTATCCGCGACCCAACTCGTTGCAGATGTTCGGCGGTGAGGTTAGGATCCTGGACAATACAGGCGAAACGAAAACGATGAGGATCGAGCCGCGACAAACCAACTCCCCTACCAGCGAGCATACGGTGAGCAGCAAATGCGTGACGTCGGAGACCGCGTCGATCGTGGTCAGGTCGGGTCTTCACTCGGGAGGCACGATGATGCACAAACCGTCAGGCACGCCAGCCAGCACGCCGAACACCTCCATATCTTTGCCCAACACGCCACAGATGTTGGCGCCGATCATGCCGAACATATCAACTCCGAACATAGCCCCGAGCATGTCGTGCTACAATTACCTCGAGCCCCACCTGAACCCACTGACCAGCATCACTGCCTACAATCCGCTGACACTGCCCCAGGCGGGCATCACCAGTATCCTTCACGGCGGCAAAGTCATACCGTACGTTCCTGGCATGCCTGGACCCCACACCCTCACCCCGGCCATAGACATATCTTCGAGTATAGCGACAGGCAACGCCGGATACAAAGTGATACCAGGCTTGCCCGGCCTCCACATGGTCCCACAGCCGTTGGATCTCGCCAGTCCGGTGAAGATACAAACACCGATCGTACCTGGTATCCCGGGACCGATGTCCACCGGGCACGCGATGGGCCAGCCGCTGGATCTCGCCAGCCCGGCGAAGGACTCGAAGCTTGGCTTCAAGACACCCGCTAGCGAAGCCTCGAAGCCCGAGTTCACGAGCCCGAAAGTTCCTAGCATTAAGATTGAACCCTCTACGGACAAGTACCGCAGGGTACCGTCCACCGGCGATATCGTCAAGGTGGAGCTCGACCGTCATATCAAGAATAGCGTGGCTATCAAGTACAAGGGAATGGAGAGTCCTAGGGAGAGGCGAGAATTCTCGTACGACAGAAGTCCCAAGGTCGAGAAGACTTTCGGTTACGCAAACGGCGTTGATTCTAACGTATCCCTGGCGAATTCCTACAGCAAGCTCAGATATTCGCCAAAGGAGTCCACCGAGAGCAGGAAGAGGGTGTCAACGTGGAACGTGAGCGAATTGGAAGCCAGTAAGACGCCTGATCCGTTAGGTCCCAATACGTCGTCGAGCTCCAAGTACGATTCACCTCCTCCTTTGGAGAACGGGCGTCTGAAAACGAGCTTCGTCGAGAGCAGAGGAAAGTCGATGGAGAACTGCGCTACTTTCAACGGGGCGAAAATAAAGCCTGAACCCGCGACGTCGATGGTGCTCGTTAATCTGGACGCACCGAAGACAGATGTGCCAAGCAAAGCTTCCGTAGATGTAGTCGTTAAGATAGACAAGCCGGAGGAGGCTAGGTCTCCGAAGAACGGCGACGCCACCAAAGAGGAGATCAACTCGAGCAAATTCCTGAGGCCCACTTCCTTGCCGTTGAAGCCTGGCACGTTCACGCCGAAGAAGCATCACGGTATCACCCCCACCGCGAACACGCTACCTCTGATCAGCCCCGAGACTCCAAGGCCCAAGAAATCGTACGGGCAGCTCTACTTGAACGGACACGCCTACACATATCTAGGCCTCAAGTGCTCTACCAGGGTGTTTTACTGCACTCTGAACCGACCACAACCGATGTACGTCACTCAACAACACGGTTTGTCCATGTACTCCAACTGGAAGATATGCAAGGAAGCTCCACCCGACGTCGACATGGCGCACTACGATTCGAGGCATAGACCTCTCAATTATACCACCGCCTCGAAGAAGCAGGAGGATATCTTAACGCATTCCTCGCAAAGACCGACCACGCCGACCAACCTGGACAGCGGTTTGGATGGCGACATGCAGGAGAAAGCGAAGAGAGTCAAGATCTTTGATGGTGGTTTCGAGAGCAACGAGGACTACACGTATGTTAGGGGCAGAGGTAAGTAATACGTCTTTCGCTGTGCGCGCTGCATGTCTGGACTTCGAATCACACGGTGTATTTGTTCCAATGAACTTACATCTGGTCCATACCTTCGCTTTGTAATATGAAATGTGTATTATTATAGTGGTGTAAGGTCGTTTATCTTTGCGCGTATCCTTTGGGTAAGATATCCAACGTTTCGTTAACATTGCAGTCTCTTTCTTCAAGGGTCAAATGATACACTGATACGATTGGTAGCCAGTGAACCGTAACATGAGCACGGATACCTTGCAATGATCTAAGCTACGCGACGCACGTCGATATCAGTGACTCATTTGACCCTTGAAGAAGCTAGCTGAAATGTTGGCGGAACGGCGGAGTATCTTATCCAAAAGACACAGCTTACAACCCGGTAGCCTCAATTAGTATCAGCTGTGAAGAACCGGGCCGTGAAAGATTCGAATATCTTATAACAAGTTTTGTATTTCATTACAACGAGAAACGTTGATAAACCCTAATTGGCTAGTTGTAGTTATATCAGGCGATTAAAGAATATAGGTCGGTTCTGACCCTTGTAATACGAACAAGCCTTCCATAAAAACTTAATTAACTTCACATTTACGCTTTAGTGTTTCCATTCTTGGATTTCTAACTTTAAACTTCATCCAAGATTATGTTGAAAAAAGAAAGACACAGAGGACTTGCAAATTTCTCCTTTTTTTTTTTTTTTTAAACGTCCTTGAAGCACACAAAATTTCTTTAAAAAATCCAAAAATGTTATTCAAAAGTTCCGTTTCTCATGACTCACCGTGTATTTCGGAACGAGAAGTATTTAGTGATTTTTTCCAATTATTGAAATATAATATGCATCGCACGTGTACGCATTTTCCATATCGCGCGGTTTATAAGTAGTTTTCCTTTAAACAGTATGTCATCGTTTTGCATAGTTAAAAATTACAACTTCTCTGTTATGTAAGGTCGAGGTCGATACGTTTGCGAGGAATGCGGCATTCGCTGTAAAAAGCCATCCATGTTAAAGAAACATATCAGAACGCACACAGACGTAAGACCGTACACATGCAAGCACTGTGCTTTTAGGTAAGTTGCTTCTGCAGCGTCTTAACGTATCTCATGCCACTTTGTTGATAGTAAGCTTTACTCGGTCCATAGATTAGTATAGTTTTCCCAATCTGGATTACAATTTTTTCTTATCGTACGATTCACAGAATTAGTCTGAATCGTCTCGTTCCTTTTCAATTTCAGTAATATGAAACTGAAAAAGTCGTATTTCGTAATTAATGTTTAAGCAACAATTTTATAAATAATACAAGATATCTAACAGAGGTATTTTACTTGATATCTTAGCGCGTTTATGAAATTGTTTTATAATTATTATTTTCGTTTTAACATCACCTTTGAAACCTACAAATGTTATAACGTAAATAACAATTAAATAATAGAAAATTGATTTGAGCAAACTTTCATTTAAATTATTATTCCTAAACTACATTTAATCTTCGTACGTAGTTTCAAAACCAAAGGCAACCTTACAAAGCACATGAAGTCCAAAGCTCATTACAAGAAGTGTGTCGAGCTGGGTGTCGTTCCTGTACCCACGTCGGTCTGCGATGAGAACATCGACAAAGACGCCATAGCTCGGTTAGCTGCCGGTGGCAACACGGAAGAGTCCTCGGAAGAGGAGGAAGAGAGCGACGGGGAAGATAGCGAGGAGTCCGGAAGCGAAGAACAGGAAGCAGCCCAGAGCTTATTGAGCCTCTCGCAACGCAACACAAACAGATTCCCAGGTCTTCTGCCATCCGGAAGACCCACGACTTATCCGTACACTTTGACTTTCCCAACGACCTCCACATCAGCAACCGTCTCGGTCGCTGTGAGCAACTCTCCTTTGAGCGGTCAAGGTGTTAGCACTCAAGCAACCACCCTCGTTCGGAACGAGCTGCCTTATCGCTACTACTTTCCATCGAACCGTACCGCCCCCGAAGAATCCAGAACAACCGTGATCCAGTCATCGAAGAAGGATAGCTCCGACGTGGAAGTGGATGAAGTGGACGCAGACTCGCGAAACAGTTTGCCTCAGCCCATGGATCTCACAACGAAGCCAGCCATGCAATCCTTGTCATCTCCCATCTTGCAGAGGGCCAAACCTGCGGATATTCTGACCCCCGTCTCGGAGCCAGTTCTTCTGCAAACGATCGTCCAAACGATGGAGAGACTACCGATCCAAGGCAGAGAATGGAAACCAGACGCCGAGGGTCATATGCTGCAGGCCTATCTCACGGAAAGACACATGATGGACAGCAAAATGAAACAACAGTATCGCGTAGGGAACACGAAGATAGAGAAGCATCCTAAAGAAAGGGACTTTTATCTGAGGCAGCTCTCTCCGAAATCCAGGACCATGGAATCGAACAATGCACCCACGGTAACGTACACCGATCCCAGCAAGATGCAGCAAACAGTGTTGGATTCCAGGATCAAGCACGTGTCGAAACACACCACGGATGAGATCAAGATGGAGATCAGAGAGAAGATCTATCAGAACAACGTTGCGGTGGAACGACGATCCTTCGATATGGAGTCCATTCACAGGGATAAGGAGCAAGGAAGTCGAACGATTCCCGAGAGAGAGAATTTTGAGCATGGTTTGATCAATTCCGTTCCAAAAACGAGCGTGGAATACGGTATAGCTAAAAGTAACAATTGCGTGGAGAGGTCCAGTTACTCCGGGGAGTCCCCTAACAGGAGCACACCGCAGAGTGTGGATTGTCACTCACCCAAGTCTTTCAACTCTGAGGCCAACAATCGACTCTTGGCAATACCGCACTTGAACAATGACATGGAAAGGAATTCGGTGTTCGGTTCGATGAAAGCGATGAACGAATTGGAAAGAGCTCGGGAATGCCACACGGCCAATCAAGAGATCAGACCAATGAGTCACGAAATTAGGGTCTCGACGACGGACCATCGAATGCAGAGTCAGAGTCCACGGAATTTGGACATGAGGCCACCCAGCCGCGAAATGCGAACGCCGAACCAGGACTACAGAGGTCAGATGCAAGAACTGCGACCACCCGCGCAGGACTACAAATTGTGCAGGCAAGAATTGAGACCTCCTAGTCGCGAATTCAAGCCTCTGGGTCACGACATACGCCCAAGTCAAGATATGACGGCTTTGAACAGCATAGAGATCAGACAGAGCAACGTGGACAACCGACCACCGAGCAGAGACATGATTCTGTTGTCGGAGTACAGACACCCTCAGCCTCAAGAACCTAGGGTTAATTTTGACATGATCCCATTGGCCATACACGACGCCACCAAGATGCAAGATGTTCCAAGACCACCGCCAACCGTGGACATGAGAAACGTGGAACGCGTTGAAATGAAACATACAGAGATGACGAAGCAGAGCATAGCGGAAAGTATCAAGCACACGGTTGCACGGAAGATGGTCGTCGGAGGACCTGGGTTCAGATCACCTTCGCCTACTGGAGGAAGTACCAAGCCGCAAGCTGAGTTCTTACAGCCTTCCAGTGGACCTGCGCCCAATTATGTCAGGTGAGTCTTTTATGGATACGTTGACTATCTGCTTTTTGCAGTATTTAACTGTACGTGTCTGCCATGAAATCTTGATTGTTTCTATCATCGGAATATAGATTTAATTTTCTATGAAAGAACTGAATCTACCGATTGTAGTTACAGTGTAACCGAAGATGGGAGAAGTGTTTGTGGAATTTGTAACAAAGTGTTCAGCAAACCTAGTCAGTTGCGGTTGCATATCAACATTCATTACTTTGAGAGACCATTTAGATGCGAAAGCTGCGCAGTTTCTTTTCGAACCAAGGGTCATTTGACAAAACATGAAAGATCTGTTTCTCATCACAATAAGGTAAACAGCTAAAAAATTTAATTTTTAATCTTTAATTATCTTAAATTATCCCAATAAAGGTCTAAATCTTTAAATATTAATTAAATGTTACATATTACAGGTCAGTATGACTTCCACGTTCGGAGCTGCGACTACCAGCAATCCTAGACCGTTTAAGTGCACTGACTGTAAAATAGCATTCAGAATACACGGTCATTTGGCGAAACATCTTCGCAGCAAGATGCATATTATGAAATTAGAATGTTTAGGTAAATTGCCATTCGGAACGTATGCTGAGATGGAAAGGTCTGGCGTCAATTTGAACGACATTGATACTACCGACTGTGATAATAGTCTTACTAGTCTCCAGGTACGTAAAATGCGTTTCATTATTTTCTAACGTATTAGAACATTTCCATGTTAATAATAAGTTCAAATATTTTCGCAAAAGAATACAGTGAATTCAATTTGATATTTCATAGAGTTTCCTAATAAAATGACAAGTTAATTTCTTCCACAAGCTTTAAAAATATAAAAGTCTTAGCATGATATCATCTCAAAAACTAATCTTCTATGTGATCGATCTTTCTTGGTAGATGCTGGCTCAAAGACTTTGCGAGAAAGATCCTAGTAAAATAGGGCAATGGGATTCTGAGCCTATTCCAAGCCAAGTTATCAGTGGAGGCGAGACGTCCTCGGACGAGGGTGAGCCTATACCACAGCATGCGATCCATCCGTGCTCTATAAAAGTAACAACAGACACGGATATGTCTCGATCATATCATGTGCCAATCACCAACGAAGATCCAAAGTCTGATGTTCAACTTGGGAATCCTCAGTTTAAGCAGCAGGGGCGCGAGTACAGCGCGAAAGAGAGGCCAAATCAGCCTACATTTCCCGTGGAGGATGTAAGGCCGGATGAAAACATGCAATCATACAAGTGCCAAATTTGCACGGTGTCTATGCGTACTATGAACGAATTGCAAGTACATTGTTTTGTTGAACATAATATCGAATCGGAGTCTAGTACAAATATACATTTGGGGGATAGGGGCGTGGACAAGTGTAGAGGGAAAGAGAATACTCAGAAAAAGGTAACAGACGAGTCTGTAGTCAAGGAAGATCACAATAAACAGAAAGTTGAAGACACATAGTGCCAAAATAATACAGTGAACCAAGAAATCAACGGTGAAGTTATTTGACTGAATTCGTTGCCGTGCCGATAAAATAGTTATAGTACGTATAGATGTCCCCTATAAAGTGTTACAATCTGTTTTCTCAGAAAGTAATGAAAATATCGACTTTATTTATGTTGTAAAGTAAAATGTTGTTGTAAAGTAAAATAGCACAGAGTGGTTATGTTTCAAGAAACATAACTGTTAAATGAAAAAAAGATATTTAGATAACTCTTATCTTCTAGAACTGATTTTTTTGTTTACATTGTATTTCGTCTGGTGGTTTATATTAAGAGGACGCTGCTATCTTTGGCGTCTCTCCAACACTTGTGTAATGTACTCCTTATTCGTAATAGTTTGTAGGAAAAATAAAGTCGATATGTTCATTAGTTTCTAAGAAAATAACCACACTTTTCACGGGACACTCTGAATACCATCACATTTCGAAGGAAAGCTCTAGAACCAAGAATATTTTCATCAGTTATGAAAAGTTTGTTACCGCGATTGTGAATTGCAAAAATCTTCCATGTATTGAAAAGGTAATTATAAGAAACTCTATTAAAGGAAGTTCTGTGTTACAGTGGTATACATATAGTAAATATTAGTAACGAGAAGAAGACTTGTTACTTTTAATATAAAAATCTGTTATATTTAATACTTGGTTTTCGAACCAATATGATGATCCATGTCGATACATGTGTGCATACAGGTAAATTTAGTACACAATGAAAATCAATGATTTCATGTTTTAAAAATATAAGAATCGATAAAATAACATCTGGTTAACTTAGTTTTTTTAAATCAGAATTTCTTCCTATATGAAACTTGAAAATTAAGTCATCAAAGCAGTGATAGTTGATATTTTGAACATATTTTTTTAATAATAGCTATGACCTTATTACAGAAAGAGAGTCAAAACTCTATTTTTTGTAACAATATGTATAAGTATTTTTCAATTTCATTTAATAACATTTAATAAAATGCAAGTTGTTCTTATGTCTTAATTAGTCAATTAGTTAATCTTAATATGAAGTCATGAAATTTTATAACAAAAGGCTCTATCTTCCTTATTAAAGTTTCTTTGATTCTATTTTTAGTGTTGTTCAAAATAAATGAGGACGTTCCCACATCATGAATAATTTTAGTCTTTTCAATAGACCTAAGATTTTCTGAAAATTTTCTTTCTTATTATTCCTGTAGAAAAATTCAATAGTCAGACTATAAAGTAGGACTTTTAAATTCAGTGTAGTATGTACAATATTTTAATAATGAAAATTGATATCAATTTGTAATAGTAAAACCTACAGGATAATAGAGGAGATAATATTTAAAATGAGTAAATGCTGGAATATGCAGCACATTTTAAATCAAATTAAATCCTTAAAAATTTGTTCAATCTTACTTCCTTTGTTTTATTATTATTACTTCATTCTTTATTTTCTATTTGAAAGATTTACAAAATAAACAACGATCAAATTTAGTCTTTCAAAATTACGAAATGAAATGTGGAAATGTTTTTATTTAATGCTTCTTTAGTTTTGTGAAAATAATGATTTTTGATTTGTTTATAAATGATCATAAATGTTCTATTTCACCACCTAGAAATTTTTATTTATCAATTAAACAATCAACTTTTTTATTTTATGTTACATTTGGATTCTATTTTGTATAAAAATATTTATTTAATAAATAGTTTGAACAATAATTATACTAATGACTTCAAACGAGCAAAATTCAATTACATATCTATTTTACTACATACTACTACCTGAACTATTCTACATTGCGTGGAATAAAAAATATTATTTGAATGCAAACATTAGTTAAACACTTCTGGATATATAGTTTTTGTTTAATCGTCCTGAGGCATAAGCAAACAGCTTTACCCTCTGGAATATTAAAAACAGGAAGTGTTGGGTTAATATTTTGTTTACTATCAATTCTATTAAGGATTTGCATACACCAAATGAAAGTTTCAAATTTAATCTGGAACAACATTCATCATATGTATTTTTACTCTAAAAGGAACAATAAGTAAGATATTGTATAATTCATAGTTGGTACCTCAAACAACTTCCCCTCTTAACAAGAAGTTAGTGATGCCATATGTTTGTAATTTCATCACAATTAGACAGAATTGCATTTTATTTATATGAAAGATAATACTGAGTTTATATAGTTGTATAGCTGTTAGATAACATCACTTTGTTAGGGGCTGAAAGCTACATTATCTGTTCTGCAAAGCAGGTAATCATAATTTACATAAATATAGTAAAAGAAGTAATACATTATTTGAAAGAGTTTTGAACTTCCGATTGTTGTTGTACTTGAAGGCCAAAAGACAATGTTGAAAGTTTTAATTTAAAACTTGTTAAGCTTTTCTTCGAAAAATGGTGGAATGTAACTTATAAGAACATAGTTCTCATATGTAGTAAAAAATATGATATTTATATACAATAGTCTTGTATCAGCATGAGGTGCAATGAACTGGCATGTGATTCTGTATTTAAAGTGCAACTGTTGCGTTCAACATTGAAGAGTATTCTAACATTAAAAATTAATATTATATCTTAATTATCGGTACATGAAGTATACACGGAACACGCACACATGTACACATACACACAAACATTGAGCGAGAGAGGGGGTGAGTTAGCCGTGACTAAAGTTGTAAATATCTGTTGTTTTTGGTAATATGAAAAAAATTCAAAGAGGAAAATTAATTTACAAAATCGCATGATATGACAATATTCAAGAGAATCTAAATACACCTTGAATTATTGGCAAATTGCAACAGTAAGAGAAAAGTAATTTTTACAATTATTGTATGCTCCTTCGAGTCAAAAATTTTCTTCTTTGAACTATGTATCATGAAAAACAATGAAAAGATTTACAATTCCAGTATAGTAGGTAACTCATCCTGTATATATTTGTATGATATTAGTATGAACAATTACGAGAATTATTGTTGATATAAGAGAAGATGTGTTTGTATATATTTATGTGTAATATAATGAAATCATGTTAGTCTTTATTATAATTTTAAGTGATCCATAATGAGGAACAGAATCGGTTATTCGGTCATTATTGTACATTTTGTTAATTCCAATGTATCATCTTTGTATCCTCCATTCTCCCGTTCGTCTTTCTGGAATACGTATGTATTTCAAATCTTTGGAAACAGAGTTAGGCAAGGCTTCTTGGTTTTCTTAAAAAATGAAACAATTACAAATTAATTAAAATAACCTTTTATTCATTATTTGCATCATCGAACAGAACCAAACGTTTGTAATTACAAATATAATTCCTAGGTTATGTAGACAAATTTAGTTTTCCAGTGCAAAAACAATATTTTATAACCTTATATACTAATGCCAATAAGTAGAAGATAGAAGCAGAATGAAATGAATCACTGGGATTTGTTTGTTATATACATATTAAAGGAAATCAGAAACTTAAATATGAATATATACATAAAATGATAAGATACATGAATAACAAATGAAATCATAGTAATGATTAAACGATGATTTAAATAATGTTACGTTAACTATAAATATGATCGTTCCCTAGCTCTGTTTAATGGATGGTATAAAACATTATACTTTCCAGTAAATTAAATTGAACTCGATCGTTAGGTCTATGATCGTTATCAACGAGCTGGATAACCGATTTTCTGATCTTTCTTACAACGTTTAAGAAGCTACATACCTTCCACGAGAGACAGCTATTCTATCTTATAATTATCTATCTAATATACAGCACCCAGTTTTTAACATCTCATCGAAGCACGACTTGTCTTTCCTACTGCATAATCAGATTTAGATTATCATAATTTGTACCTAGATGTGCTTGAGACAAAGTAGTAGACGAATAGACAGACCGCACAATCGTATACATTGAGGTCCAGTTAAAGTGATTGTCGCCAAACAATATCAATGTAGTATAATTTAATATAGCATTTGGTGTATGTCCATTCTAATGCTATCAACTCCGATTACAAAACCATGTATGAATTTCCAAAGCGTGCACGTGTGTATGTTTACAATGGCCAAGCCAACGATGTTTGTATTTTAGAAGAAACGACGAGATAAAAAAAAAAGTAACTTTTGCATTGAAATTAATATTTGATAAGATATATTAGAAGGAAAGATTCCACGGATGAAGAATATTTTGGAATGCAGCTGAAGCCAAATTTCATATGATATGTAATATTTATCTCTTTACTATCTTATATGTGATTGCTAAAGTAGTTCTTTCAGATTATGATTCTGGATATATTTTCGAAACAATTGTTTTGTCTAGAGGTATTTTGCATACTTTCACGAGCATACATAACGAACCATCATTTACATATCAAATCTATTGATTTAGACTAAGGGACAATGAATACGATCATTTTTCATCATTTGTATCCTACAGTAGAGAACAAACAATTCGATATAAAATAAATTTATATTACATTATTGGAAAGCCAACTTAATTTAATCTAAGACGTTACAAGTATGTCAAACGTCATATTTGAGAATATTTTTAGATAGTTCACACAAATATTTGTGTAAACATATTTTCAGTTAAAACACAAATAGAAAGTTTTTATGAACAACTGAATTTGTTGAAATTTAAGTTTATTCGTATATTTCATTAGATAACTAATAATTGAAAAATAGTTCCAAATGTTATTTTAAAATTAAATAGTGTGTAAAGTTTAGTAGACAAAAACTATGAACAAATTTTAAAGTACTTGATACATGCAACACTAAAAACTATGCAAAGCATTTATCATCTAGAATAAATCATGTTCGCAAAGAAATCCTTTGTCACATTTTCCGATATTTTAAGATGTTTATCTAAAATATCTATAAATATACTATTTCACAAAATCTGCTATTTTGAAAGAATTTCTCTATAAGACGAATGCACAATTGTCTTCCATTAGTATTCTAAGTAGTAATCGATAGATTTTCATAAATAAAGATATTCAGAAATTTCTTAAAAATGTTTTACATGCTTAATTATATATTGTTATTCAAAAGCTCTAAAATATTTCAGTCGTTTTAAGCGTGAAGAAACTCCATTTTATTCCGTCTTCCATTTTCGTAATTTTTACATTACTTCATTTATTTTAGCGAATGAATTTGGAAACTGGCACTATTTTTTGTAAAACGTAAATGATCTTAAAATTTCAAAAACAATATATAAGAAACAAAATTAATGTTTTACAATGTTCTCTTCAAATTTCGATCATATCTTTTTAGTATGGAAAGAAAAAAATGAATTATTGTAGGTGATAAATTGTTTTGTCTTGCATAATATCATATTAAAATCTTCTGTAAGAAGTTGGCTTGGCTCCTTCCAAACTCAGTATTAGAAATCTTAAAAACAAGCACGATTAAAATCCCAATGCGTGAATTATTTTTAATCGAACTGTGTTTTGCAAAAAAGTACTTCCAAGATATCAGCTTTTGTCATTTCATTCAAGTTGGATTTCTGAAACGGCCCCTACCTTTTTACCGTTTTATAATGAATGCTGACAGTAACGCAAACAGTTGGCAGGTTAGTATTTTACATGTATTATAGGTGATGTAAATCATTCAAATTTTATAAATATTTTTCCGAGTGCATAATGTCAATTGCATTCGTGCAACAATTCTATTGTATGCTTTTATAATCAGTTGCTAGATTAACGAAGCATTTCGGGCTTGAGAAGTTAATTCATGATAAAGAAAAAGAAAGGGTACTTTAATGGAAACAAATCGAGCGTTTGCTCGTAAATATCAAATAATGGGACCGGAGTAAGATTTTATAAAAATGTACACAGAAACATATAAGAACATTGGCTTTTATGAAATGTAAGAATGCCAACACTTTGCTAGTATCGCTGTCACTTTTCTTCCTGATTCTGTGACTCTGTTGAACTACTGATGAAAATGTAATTTATTTATTGTAAATAAAAAACATATATTGCTTAAAATGTTTTATATTATATGATCTGCATTGATACATAATCAACGGAATTTTGGTGAACAATGTGAAGAAAAAAAATCAATTTAAAGTTTATAAAGAGCTATGAAATATATTTGGATTAATATTGTTATAATTTTCTAAGGTAATATTGCAAGCATAAAAGTACAACTTTATGAATGATGTGGGATGGGAATAAATATTTAATTTGCAACAATGTTGTGTATTTTTTTATTAAAAACTGTGACCTTACATAAGGAATAATATATGAATATATACTACTCAAAGTGTGCACAAAGCTGTAGCATTATCTTTATTTACATCCTTAGGTTTATGATAGACTTATATATTACATCAAAATCACCGTGCATCAAATACGACAACTAAGCATTATTAAGGAAAATAAATAGTTTTATAATCTTATGTATATAGTACGTGTACTCGATCAAGTATGTCGATTGGTTTAAACTTTGTTAAAAAAAAAAAGGATACGTCTCTTGGTACGTTTTTTGTACATAATCCTGTAGCCACACTCCCTACACCGAATCGGATCTCTGGGACGTATTTCATTATCGTGATGACATTCTACAAATATACAAATCTACATTTAATGTAAAATATAAACACTATATAAGTTTTATTGTGAATTTATAATTAATATTGTAACTAAACAGTACAAGTAGATTAACAAAAAGTGTAATTATCTTTATAAAAGAAGAAGATAAATTTACTTGATTTAGTATAACTTGTACAATATTGTAACGTTCGAAATTACTTCAAAATTCATAAAATTATGACGTCATGAATCTTCAAAAATGTATTTGCGTATTGTAAACACATCTCCTAAAACATTCATAACGAATTTGAAGATAGTTCATTTTAGAATGGAGTAATGGAGTAATGACATTGTCATACTGAAAATCTAAGCAATGCATACTGTAAAAAATGTTTCATTGTGTAAAAAAATTGTTGTTAGGAGAGGTTATCTTTAGTTTAAATCATACCTCCGCAAATATACACCATGGCTTGCTTTGGGGTTGATTCCGACTTGCTGGATTCCATTTTACATGAAATCTCGAATATTATCACACGATGCTTTGAACGTAGTCCAAATAACAATTTATCACCTAACAACGTGCGAACTTGAAACTTCTAATGAAATATTTACAAGTCAACGCCAACGTAACATGGCAGTATTGTGATTACAGATGCCCCTGTTATTCGGCAATCAGTAGCAGCCGGTTTTGTCGGACGGGTTGCCATTTCGTAGGCGCAGAAGTGGAAATTTGACGGTAAACTTGGGTGGTTTCCCGAGAGATGGCACTGTATATTTCGGTATTTTAATTTTCTTTAAAACTTAATATCAGTAAATTACTAGTGTACAAATCAACAATTAGATGTTGGATTGCGATAATTATGATGTAAAATTATATGAATATGCAGAAAAAATTAAAAAATGTGAATATATGTGAAAAATTAGTTCGGTCGCCGCCGCTAGATGGCGATACCGCTCCTGTGTCCATTAACTAACCTATTGCTCTCATACAGGGTGTCCCAAAAGTCGGGGAGGAGCCGGAAATGGGGGGTAGCTGAGACGATTTTGAACAACAATTTCCTTTGCAAAAATGTTGGATGAGGCTTCGTTAAGGAGATATTAAGAGAAAACCCCGACCAAAAAGTTAAAACGAGACTACGCTTCGTGCAGGAATTTATTGCATATTTGAAATGATTTAAATAGAATTTGTTACTATATTTTTCGAAAGCAAAATAATTGTTATAATTGCTCCATAATTATCTTCAAAATTAATATCTATATCCGATAGTAACCTAGATAAGTTTTCATTAATTATTCATGTATTATAGAATAATAGATAAAGAATAAAAAGTTTGTGTAACGATTGAAACACTATTACATTTATTCGCAACGCTCATTCGATTCAAACAAGCAGTAATTCGTTCAACGCGAAATCAAATTTAATTCCACGATATAGATTTTAATTTCCTATCGAACGAATGACAGATTAAAAGCATCGTATCTTCTTATTACTCGAAATGTGTTATCTAGACGAAAATCTCGGCCACCTCCCCGAATTGTTGCCCGTCTCTGCGAGGAACCAAGAAAGTCTCCCCGTCCCCGGCAACAGAATTCGGTAGGTCGAGCGACGGCGGTCAGGGGGCGACAGCGTAGATAAACGCGAGCAACAGTCAACAACCAATAACAGCGCTTGGCAACGAACGGCGGGATGAGACGAGCGAGCCGATTGGTCGGGCAATCGCCAAGGGAGCCACGGTGGGACAACGGATAAACAGATTTCAAAGTTTCGATGTGCCTCGGCTGCAGAACACACAGAGAGAGTTAATGCCCGCGCACGCATGTTCCCTTCGGACAAGAGTCCTTGTCTAGTAATCCTTGACATCGCGAATATCAATATTTTCAGATCTTGTGATTTCGTTGATCGAGTAACATTAAACGTTTTACACGAAATGTCACACGGGGATAACGGTGACAAGTGAAAGACGAAGGAATACCGTTGATTTGTCTTCGGTTCGGTCAAAAAGAGCGGCGTTTGTTTACTAAGTGCGGAGGGGTGGTGGAAGTTCCACGTTCGGTCGAGGATTCACGAGCAGATGCTCTCCGCGAGGCAGTTTCCCGCGCGACGCACGTGAGCGTGCCGAGTGGGGCGATACACGCTGGAAGCATGGACAAAACTCGTGTAAACTCTTCAAGACAGATGTGATGCGTAGAAAGTGGTCGAGACGTCAACGTCGAGAAAACGTGCGCGAAATATTTCTCGGATTTATTTGAACTTGGTGAACTGGAAGAAAGGAAAATAACTATGCGCGTTACCGGGACGCGTTCGATCGAGTGTAAGAAGATGTAGTTCGAGAGCTGGTGTTTGTCAACGAATTCTACGCGGGAAAACAGCATGGAGATGGACGAAATGGAAAGTATGGGTATCGGCAACACGCCTCACAGAACAATAAACGCGAGCAATCGTAGTTCTCATGACAGTGGAGATAGCGGTTACTTTGCTTTTACTCCCCATTCTGGCGTGTACACGCCGGTGGTTTCAGGATGCAGATCTAGGGTGTCTTGTATTTCTTCGAAAAGGCATCACAGGCTCAGAGTGGATCCTCTGCAGTCGGAACGGGGTCAGAGGCATCGAATGAAATTGAATCACCTGTTACACGCATCAGATTCCGGTTATTTAACATCTGAAACTCTGGAAACCGGGAGTTTGCTCGAGGATCAGACAAGCTTGAATGGCAATCATCAGTCGCTCGAGCATTCGAGTGCCGAATTGATTGATCGAAGCACGGAGTGTCGAGAATATGATCTTCGGACTAGAACGCGTCGAAATTGGAGGACGACTGTTCCCATTACGCCAGCTTCGACGAATTTGCAACTTCTTTCACCGCCACCGTCGCCGGCAGTGCCTTCTTCTTCGTTTATAGCCTCCGAACCTATCGAGGACGATGTAGAAATGAAGCTAGTCATCGCGCCACAGAGTACACCCGAGGTAGCTAATTCGCCTAGGCGCAGAACACCGCTTCCGCCGCCTCCACGTTTCGTGGTTTCGCCAAGCTGTCGAAAAAAAGCTAGTCCTGCGATCACTTCAGCAGACAACCGTAAGTTAAGTCAGCTCTCTATCACGGATCTTGCTACCATCGCAGAGATCAAGCCGAAAAGGCTGGACTTTAATCAAAATGCCAAGTCCATTAACTATTATCGTACCAGAGCCCACCCAGATTACACTGGTAGAGAAACCGTAGACATATTGGCTCTTCTCGGAGATAAGAGTAACCATTGGAGGATAGTCTCCAAAATATTCTCCTACCTCGGACCTCAAGATCTGTGTTCTGTCAGCATGGTGTCCAAAACTTGGAGGAGGCTTTGTAATAACGACTTCAGAGCCAATACAAGAAGACTGACCCACGTTATACTCAGACAGAATGCTAAAGAGAATTTGAAATTAATCAAAAAGTCAAAGATGGAAGGAGATCTTCAGTCCAGTCCTAGGAGCAGATACGCTAGAAAGGGGTTCTTGTTAGAGGTGCAGAATCTTCTTCAAGAACCAAGGAACCAACGGCAGCCCACCAGTCCGCCTGTTTCTCCTAGTAAAGTGAAATTTCACTCCTTTGTCAAGGTAGGTGATTTGGAATTTTAAGAATATTAATTTATAATCTCCATGAAATTTGTAATAACGACAAGGTTAAATACCTTTAAAGCAGTGCTGTGTAAAGTTTCCAAAGACATATCTATAAAAAGACTCAAATTTTTGTGTCCTGATATTTGTAAAGAAAATGTTTTTGTTATATTTAGTTTAATTAATATCAAATGAACTTCCCAGAAGGTAGTTTGTACTTGTAAAATCAAAATTAAATTGCCTTTATTCGTTTAATGTATCAACGTTGAAAGCAATAATTAACTAAATCGCGTTAAAATTCCGTTTAAAAATTTTATTTGTGCACTCGTTGGATTTTAAGATGCTCCACTAGGGGTTGCGCCCCCTAGTTTAGAAAACACTGCTTTAAGGTGAGAAAATGGCGTCGGATGCAGAGATGAGAGAATATTAAAGCGAGACTGCTTTTTCAGTGTCTTTCTAATTTAATTGATCGGCACGTTTCATAATCATGCTCCCAAAAATGGAATTGGATTAGTTAACAACCATTTCATAGACCTTATTGCCTTTTGGTTGAACGTGAGAAAATACGTTTGACAAGATAATCTGGTCGCTGTAAAAGTACACGTTTAAACGGTACACTGTTACTCGAGGGGTATCGTATTTGATGCCAGTAAAGAAAGTAATGTATGTTGTACTCCACTGGGAGTCCTGTTCCCCACCGTTATCGTACTTGCATGCACTAGCATACTCGAATGCTGCAGCCAAATTCCCATATCCAGCTTCGGCAGTCTCAGCAAAGTTTTTTTTAGAATTACATTTTTATCCTCGAAAAGTTCCTTTCCTGTTTTATAGCCTCAGATCGTTCGATTAAAACGTATTATATGATAATAGTACAGAAGATATTCATTAAAAGAAGATGATTAGGTGGTCATGGAAGGGGCATAATAAAACAACCGTGATTGGACAATGTAAATTATATTTTCAAACAAATCGTTTGCACAATTTTATTATACTTGTGACAAAATAAATTCATGTTCGCTAGTGAAAGAAAAGGTAATTTTGGCATAGTAATAAGTAGACTGCGTTTATGCATTCATGGCAAATGGCGATATGAAACAAATGTACATAAGAATGTGCACAACTTCAAAAATATATAACCTTCGCAGGATTTCTCTTTAATTGATAAATGATGTTTTCTACGTTTCGAATATAGGCGAATCTAAACCTATAATTAGGTTGCTGATTTTTTTTCTCTCGTCAAGCCTCTGTCCTTATAGTTTTTATGGGCAGAAATTCGAAGAATAATTAGGCGGTAGTAATCACCTACGACCCAAGAGCTCATGATTTCTTTCAACAGTTGAAGCCTTGTATATATATCCCCCAGCCTCTCTTTCTCCTCAGCTTGATATAATTTGCACACGAACGAACTCCACGGCGACGCAAGGAAAATAATTGTTTCGTTCTTAATATCGTTTCTTTGACATTGATTTATCGTGATTTCTTCTTTGAAACGCCGCCACTCATCGACCACACCGGTATTCAGTATGAAAAATTGCCCTAGTGACGTTAGCGCGGCTTTAATCGCAACAAATTCTCTGTTCTACAATAATTAAAGTGTATCACGCTAGGAGGAGACTTTCGAAATGATAATTACTTTACACTCCGGTACGTATTGCGAATGCATTCGCAAATGGAACCTGATTTATTTTACTTGTATAAAATGGACTCTAGATATATTTATAACTTGAAAAAGATAATTGTAACAGTCGAATCAACAATTTGAATTTGAATGTAATGCTTGCCATTTAATCGATCGCGGTAGAAATGGGTACAAATAAAGTTTAGGAAATTTAGCGTTAATTCTTCATTTGAAAATTTCACGTACATAATAAATTTTCCCACTCTTTAACTGCTTCCCATTCATTCCTGGAAGGCAACGACATCAAAGACGGATATACGAGCGAGTATGCCGACTACCTGCCATTTGCACCTTGAGCTTTCACCCGGTGTGCATTTCTACTCGCGTTAGGTTGCGATAGCGATAGATTACTGAGTAGACGGTTACTTTGTTATCGTCGGGCACGTAACAAAGCTTCTCGAGGTATGCTTGACGGCACTTCAAGGTCTTCCATTGCGTGCACCGCGATAGCATGGTATTTGTCGATGTCTGGACCAGTAGAATTAACGTTACTATGGTTCAGAGGTGCATCAAATACGACCAATAAAATAGAATTAAAAACATATGATGTTTTAATGAGAACATTTAGCAACATTTCTTACATTAATTAGAGTATCATTTTTTTTCCCCCAAAAAAAGTCTTTGTACACTTAATGAACAATTCTAAACTTTTAATCGAATATATATTTTTCGAATGATGATCGAGTGTATCATTTACTATCAAATGTAATTTGAAACGTACCTAAGACCTTTCAAAGTTGAACAAAAAAAATCATGAAAATTTTCATTTGTAAAAAAGAAAAGCTCCACCGAGGAACGTTTGATATTTGGCCATCTGTAATATGGTTTCCTTTTATCGAGTACGCATCAGGCAACCCCTTTTCTTCGTATTTACGTGTCCGATTCTTCGAATGCAACGTGAAAATAAATACCCACGACTCCCAGCAACGAGCAGAATAAGATGTTATATTAATCGATCCATGCCTAATCGGTTTTGCATAATTGACAAGAAACTCGCGCTACCGCGGTCCTTTCTGAACGATGTCGATCTCACCGCGGGGCTCGCGTATAAATAAATTTTTCGCCCACTCCTGAGGGACGGGGCGGGGAGGGAGGTAGCGCGTGTTAACATTTTCATACGAGTATACCGCGACGTGGTTATTTAACGTTTCGCAATAAAGCAAATCGAGGGGGACCCCGATACGTTCACGGCAAGGGACTCCCTTTCCTTCTGCATCTGCGACGCAACGAATCTTCTCCTTTGGAGGGCAGAAACGCCGCTAGCCCTCGGGCAAAAACCGGCCGCAGAGAACAATGCGAATATATTACAGTATTCCATGCTACGACCAAGAACCGTGCTGTTATTTTCTTTGTCTTTTACTGGAGGGTTGCGCGGGGATGGGAGGCGCCGAAAGTAACCGCGGTTAACCGAAACCATTTCACCAGGCAAAATACAGAAAAAAAAGAAAAATACTTTGAATGCTGTAATAAATAAGCGAACGCTATACGGAATGATTGTAAAAAGTGGGACACGCTTTAGAGGAGATGTGAAAAATTGATAGAGAATCGGGTTGAAATTATATGTGTTTCGTTATTTGGTAGAAGGTGCTAGTGCGGTACGCGTTTGCATTTGTCTCTCGAGGTAGTTCTTTTGTGGATTTATTCGTTTGATTATCCTTTGATTAAATATGAATCGTATGAGCCTATTTCGATTTAAATTGACCATTTTAGTTGTACGAACAAGGATATTAAGATTTTGTAAATTTTAACACAGACCCTTATGGAACGTGCAGATTTTCACGTGATTTATCTCATCGCTGATTAATTTATTAGTAAAATGGCCAAGTTTTCCATTCGGCTCGATATTTTGTTAAAATATCGAATCATTTTATTATTTTAATTGGGTTATATTTTGTATCGTTATTTGGGCTGTAAGAGGAATGCGTAAGTTAACTCGTTGGAGTTGATAGTGACACAATAAGAAATCGGTTTATTGAAATATCCGTTTATGCATTCTTTGGGTTGCTTCGATTTCTTAACCTCGTACAATCTTGCAGGATACCATAGAAAGTTCTGTTCGTGGTGAGAAATGAAGACACCAATGCTGCGAAAAAAAAGGCTCGGATACTTTTTCACCGCTTTTTTTTTTATGTATATATATATACATGATATCGTTACCTTAGAACTGGAACATCGTGAGAATTTTGAACGATGTAAACTTATACTTTTAGAATTAAAATCTTTTTACTCGCATTCCCTTTTCACGAACTGAGATTATTAAGGGTCTCTAGCAGTCTTATCAATTCTAATTGGAAATGATAGTTTGTCGAAAGTTCTACGAGGACAAAAGACAATTTTAGAGAAAGGAAGGACGGGAGGAAGTAGTTTCATAATTAGCAACGGCCTACGGATGACCGTTGAGTGGTCGTGTAACAGTTGGTGCGGGTAATTTCCTGTCTTCCTAAGGAAGTCTCCTTCCAAGTCCTTTTTCCGGTGGGTGCATCGAGATTTTCTACCGGTGACATGGTCACATTCGTCCCTACCGGATTTCACTTTTTCCTTTTGATGTTAATTTAGCACGACAAACGAAATAAATCAAACAAAACTATATTTAAAGTAAAATTAGCAAACTAATTTGTCAATGAAAAAAAATTCTCTGTTCAAATAATTGTCCTTAAAGATTGCAGTAAAGTCATTATTAATAATTGAGTGAGTTTAGAAAGAAATTTAAAGTATATGAGTCAAATTGACACCGACCTAGTAGTTTCATTATCAATGGTATATCGTTAATTAATTATTATCCACGCTATATAATCGCTTCAGTGCGTACGAGTACTTTAAAACATATCTAAACGATCCTATGAAGCTAATCGTTTTGTACAGCGATCGCTAACGAACGGTTGATTGAACTGATTCTCAAGATCGCGCCAAGACGATATGCATTGATTAGCGCGGTAATTAGCGTACCGACGCGACGGTTACGTACTTGCGTTTCTAATTGAGATTAAACGCGTCTCGCGCAAGTGAAAACGAATGTCTCGATAATTTTCATGAATCATCACGAAGAGCGAAATTGTTTCTTGTGCGATGCTAGTTTCATTCACGGGGTTTATTTTGCTCGTTTCTTTATATATATAAGAAGATCTCGACCGTTACCAGACCACTTTACGCTTCATGAAACACCGAGAAACGTGGCGTACACCTGGCCAGGTGCAGCGTCGTACTGGGTCAATACACGCGCGTGATAGTGCAGAACCGTTGGAATGGGAAAAGAAAACCGCAGAAAAATAACAAACCGTTCTGCGGCTTGTGCGCGACATCTATTTGGACTTTGTTTACTGATAAAAGTGGTGAAATATTATTTGAATCGATTCGAAGGAATGTTTCAAACATTATTAGGTACATTTTGTAATACTAGGAATACATTTTGTAACTAAGGTCGGAATTAGTTTATTACTTATTATCTGTCTAGAGCTACCATACAAAAGTTAGACTTGTGTTAGAAATATAATCTATAGAGAGCAATTGTGAAAAAAATTAAAGTCAGCAGCTAATCGGTATCAATTTAGCGTGTAAAAGCGTTAGCTAATTCGCCGGCTAGTTCGTTGAAAACGAGTAGAAAAATAACAATCCTGGAAAATTGAATAGATTTGTATGCAACAGGGAAGAAAAAACTCCAATCCATTCTACACGCGGGGAATGAGAAATCTAGAGAAACTAATTTGTAAAAGAATTCGCGCGTCTCCTTGGCCGCAAATAACGAGGATGGCGATACAAAGAAATAATTATGCATTCATGAAATTCAAGAAGGATGCACATTTGTAAGCGAGACGTAAGCACCATCCGACACGCGGCGTCGTTCCTGCAACCCAATGAAACTTCTATCGTTTACAAAAAGGATAAGCAACGTTGAACGGTTAGAAGGATTTCGCGGAATTCACGAGGTGTTCCTTAAGGGCGTATAGGAGGAAGTTTACAATGTATATTCCGCGTGTTGATAACGCGAGCCTCTCGAGTAGCGATACGAAGGAGTTACAATGTTTGCCGTTGCGGGGCTGGAAGTACTTTTGAACCTTTAAAATGCTACAACGGTTCTATGAAGTCTGAAAACTGGCGAGTTACGAGTTCATATTTTTCGCTGGTCTCGTTTTTACAATCAGTTATTATTCGATACTAAATTAATTGTAACGAACAGAGTAATCTTTCATCAATAGGGTCTTGTCAGAAATGATGTCAGACAAGCAAACTAGACTGTCGCGTAACATACAGCTGTGAATAATTGTAAATAATTTTCAAATTTGACGCTTATAGAAAACTGTTGCAAAGATGTATGATTTCTATGGTGTAACGTGTCGTTTATTTATGAAATATCATTTGAGGTAATAAATTGTCGCATAATAATGTCCAGGTTCGATCGAGAGTCGATCCGGTCTACCAATTAAACGTTAATAAAACAAGGGTATTCGGTGAAGGCAGTATTGTCGCTACTCGTAGGGTCGAAAGATCGATCGGTATCGGGATTGTAATCGCGGCCTTTGTTCTCTCCACTTGCTCCTCGTTTCTTGGCGCTGAGCACACGTACGTTGGATGAGGTGGATCGAAGGTGGAACCTAAGGGCTGCTGACGCAGGCAGGGCTGGCTGAGGGCTGCTGGTATGCGTGTAACGAGCGCGCCGGCCAAGCTCTTCTGGTCCCACGATTCTCGGAGCAACAGCCGCGCGCAAAAAGACCAGGAATGCCTCGATACCTCGGTAAACGCATTAAATCGCGTGGGGAACCATCGCCGTACGTTCGCTTCGAATCTACCCCCTTTTTACCCCTTTTTGCAACTGAAATTTCCGTTAAAGGCGCTCCCGTCTGCCGCGGCGACCCGTTTACGAAAATTTTCTCTAACGCTCCAAACACACACACACACACATCGCCCTTTTACATTCGCTCTTTCCGGCCCTTTAACTCATTCTATTGCAAGATGAAAAAGAAGACCGATCATTTATTTTCATAAAGTACCTGACATCTTGCTTTATACCTTGATACCTTGATACCTTTACCTTTTAGAATGACAAAAATTCCATGTTATTCAAACATTTTTCTATGTAAACAAAATCATGGAAAACGCTT